GATGATATATATATATATATATATATATATATATATATATATATATATATATATAAGGAAGAGTGGTTGCAACGAGAAAAGTGTGTATATTAAAAGAAGAGAGAAACCGCAAACGTTTTTTTTGGTTGTAATGTGGATTTTTTTAAAAAAACATCATGCTCTATTTTCCATAATTCTTATGGAAAATAGAGCATAATATTTTTTTTCTAAATCCTCATTACAACCAAAAGCGTTTGCGGTATCTCTCTTCTTTTTAATATATATATCCATGTATGGGATTGGTGTATAGGGAATAAATTTACATAGCCAACAAATACTATTCTTAAAAGAGCGCTCAATACAGAGTAGAGCGAACATAATTATTTATTTAAAAATTATAAAAAAAATATGTTATAAAATCACTACAAAAATAGCCATTTTGTTTCAACACTTCTGGTGTCTTATCAAGTGATTGTGTTGAATGTAGAATAAATCTTTAACATATTTATGTTATAATTTTCGAATAAAAAATTATATATATATATATAGAGAGAGAGAGAAAAAGAGAGAGAGGGACTACAGGTGATAGATCAGTTGGTATATGATCCAAGTGGATCCTAGTAATAGAGCATATATATTAGACGGCAAAAAATCCAAAATTACCTCATGTGGTTATAGCCAATTTCATCCGGCGTAACTTCGCTCCAGTCTTCAACCCTGGCCTGACCTGTCTCGGAATCAGTGATTTTGAATTTAGTTTAGATAGCAGTTGGGGAAAAGATTACGAGCCTACTAAAATGACGTCTCAGCCACATAAAAATGTCTGAAATCTCAGATAGATTGGAAAATTATAGATTCTGCTCATACTTCTAATAGTCTTAGAAATAGTTTCAGTCTATATTTAGAGGTAAAAAATAGAATAATAAAATACAATAATCAATGTAAACTGTTAAATCAAAGGAACGAACTAGTGTTAAAATGTAGTCACAGAAGCAGGTTTAAACTTATATCAGAACATAAAAATGTTACCTTATGTTAACTCCCCCAATATCGAATACAATAATAACTAAATTCTACAATTTCCCGCTACTCTCCATATTAACCCTGTCTTATAACTCTCCCCTAATTTGTGCAACCCCCTTTGATTAAACATTTTATTTAAAAAAAATTTAATCTGTTTTTAAAGAATTTCGCATATAGCTTGGTATTCCTAATAATTTAACCTATCCTTAAACTTAAACCCCCTAAAACTATTCGTTTTTTATATTAATTTTCTAAATTCAATGTATTGTTAATCTTATTAATACATATTTGTTGTTGCTATAATTTGGTATTCCTTTGTGGGAACCTACATTCCTTTATATATAGTTAAAGCTTTTGGTCCATTTAGGCCCTTCTTTTAGTTTCAATTCAACACTATGCTCTTCATAAAAGCACAACTTAGGATCATAAGGTTAATATCGGGGTTGATTCCAGCGGCCTCTTCCCTCTTTTTTTTTTTAGTGAGATAACTCCCGCCCTCCCCTTACCACAAACACGGTTTTTATTTTATCTGGCTGCGGTAGGCTCGGAATCTTTCCACCGACTGCTATCTAAACTAAACTCTAAATGCCTTGTTCCGACACGAGTCCAGTCCAGAGTAGAAGAAGACTGGTGCAAGGTTGCCCCGGCTGAAGTAAGCCATACCCCCATGAGGTAATTTGGGATTTATATATATATATATATATATATATATATATCTTGTGTATTTAGGAAGCAATCCTTCATTTATGCATGTTTCATTAAAACGACACACAAAGTACTACGATTAAGCTTTTTATTTAATTTTTCTTGGATTCGAACTGTTACTATTTTTTGATACATTATGTAACTAGTGAGCTAGCCCAAATGACTTAACTCACATTATAGTCCACCAAAAGAAGTGTTAACCAATCAGAAGACGTAGAACATTCAATCCGTCGTGTATAAAGGCGGCCATTTTGTTTACTCTACCCGAATGTCCAGTGCCAGCTTGTCAAGCGAAGAGAACCAGAAGGACGAACTATGCTCTGATACTTTTACCAAAATATCCACTGCTAACATTAACAACGCTTTTCTACTGTCTTCGAAATATTCACTGCTAACCTCTGGATTCTATACTCGAAGACGACTGTCATCATGAACAACACGAACAAGTTCTTTCTTATTTTGGGCACAGAGTGTGTAGAAACTGTCTAAGTTTCTACACACTGCATATCTCTCTCTCAAAATCTCTTTCTGTCTATATATATATATATATATATATATATATATATATATATATATATATATATAGTGTGTGTGAGAGAGAGAGAGAAAGAGAGAGAATGTGTGTGTGTGTGGTAATATTGCCGTTTAATTAAGGAAACATTCGACATTCACTGACGAAGCAGTCAGTATTATTTTCGGTTGAAATTTATAAAATCTTTCAATTAAAAGAAGTTTTCATGAAAATAATTTTCTCAAATCCAGTAACTCTTATCGTTCTTTCCTACCGTTTTATTTAAATCAGTGTAGAAGAAGAAGAAGAAGAAGAAGGAGAAGGAGAAGGAGAAGAAGAAGAAGAAGAAGAAGAAGAACGCGGAAGCGAAAAAAAAAATGAATTGATAGAAGAATTGAAAAAAAAAAGATGATGATATCCTATTTTACTAATAGGAATAAATAGAAGAAGAGGTGAAAAGTCGGAATGAAGAGAAGAAGAAGAAGAAGAAGAAGATGACAAAGAGAAATAGAAGTAAATAGGAAAAGAACAAGCACAAAAGAGAAAGAAGAAAAAGAGAAGACAAAGAAGAAGAAAAGAAGATGACAAAGGGTAATAGAAATAAATAGAAAAAAAATGAAGAAATAAGAAAGAAGAAAAGAAGAAAAGAAAAAGAAGAAAAGAAGAAGATGATAACAATGGGAAATAGAAATAAATAGAGAAAAGAAAAAAAAGAAAGAAGAAAGAAAAGAAAAAGAAGTAGAAGAAAAGAAGATGACAAAGGGAAATATAAAGAAATAGAAAAAAGAAGAAAAAGGGAAAATTGGAACGAATCGAAGTGAAAAATTGAAATGAATAAAAGAAAAAGATGATGATAATGGCAGTAGAAAAATAAGAAGAAATAGTAGTAGTCGATGATGATGATGGGGAAGAGAAGGAAGAAGAGAAGAGGAAGTAGTAAAAATAGGAATGTGAGCGAGAAGAAGAGTAGGAGGAACGAAAAGTAAGAAAAATAAGAAAATCGTTAAGAAGAACGTGGCGAGGAAAAAGAGAATAATAAAATAAAGAGGAAAAGGCACAAGGAAATTGAAAAAGAAAGAAAAAGTTAAAAAGAGGGAAAAGGAATGTTAAGAAAAGAAAAAGAGAAATGAAAGGAATAAGAGCGAATAAAAGATGAAAAATAACATCTGAAGAAGAAAAGGCGTTTATTACGATGACAGAAACGGCAGAATGAAGATGAAATTAAGTCCCAAAAAAATAAGACGAAGAAAAGAGACAAAAATAACAATGCAAAAGTTGACATTACAATGAAAATAAAAAGAAGAAAAAAGAAGAAAAACAAGCCGATGACAGGAGAAAAGAAAAACAAGAATAAAAGAGATAAACAAAGAAAAGGAGATCGAAGAGGAAAAAGAAGAGATACAACAAAAGAAAGTGGTAAAGAGAATAACAAAGATGGCGATGAAGATCAGAATGAGAAAAAAAAAGCCCCCAAAAAACAAAAACAAAAATATATTCCCTGCCTTCTAAAAAGATGCTTTGCATTGTTCATCTGCTTTACTGTAGTTACTTATTCAATTATTTCATTCAGACATTCTATTCAGGAGTGGGGTCTGCATTCTCGCCTCAAAAGAAATATGGTCGTAATTTTGATGGAAGAAGATATCTGAAAATATTCAAAATGGCGCTTTCAAGGCATTTTTTAATGTTTTTTTTTTCTTTCTCTTGAGATTTTGTATTTATTTTGTAAAAGCAGTCGGTACAGTTATTTATATCTTGGTTATCACAACAATGTTTGTCACCAGGCCAAGGACAGAACACGTTCTTTTGTGCACTTTGAGAAAGTCGATGTTGTCTTTGGTAAGTCGGCGATCTTGACTAGATAAATAACACTGTCGTAAACAATTTGTTTTGCAACAAGTTCGAATTCCGATAAAATTAAAAAGCTCTAACCGGTGACTTCTTTCTGTCAAACTTGATCGCTTGATGAAGATACAACGGCCGAAACGTTGGGAATATGGCAATGAAGATGAGGATAACAGCCCGAATAACGTAAATAATGTAAATCAATATCTTTCACTACTTTCGTCTTATGAAATGCATTGGATCGCTGTTTCCTTGTCAGAGTAAGAAGTCCAAGAACAAAGAAATGTCTCGCTTGATATCTCGTTAACAGTCATACGATAAACATACGTCTCAAATACTTAATAGGGATTTCCGAATTTTCTAAAATTAATATTCGTTTCATCACTTGCGTTGGTTGGTTGTTTTTTTTATGGCATATCAATACCTCAGTGGGTCATTTAATGCCAACAAAATTTTTGAAATAGATTCATAGCGATAGTTTTGAAAAAAAGGAAATGTATACAGATATATTTGAACAATTTTTTCAGTTACTCATATTTAAAAGTACATTTAAACTTCTTAAAAATGTATAGCTGTTTGTATTACTTATATATATATATATATATATATATATATATATATATATATATATATATATATATATATATATATATATATATTGCTGATAATAATTTTCCTTCAAAAATTATTGCTTTAATTATTTTTTTTTAATTAAAATTCAATTTCTTGTATTAAAACCTATTTTTTACACAAGTTTGGTTGGGTTAACTATTTGCCAATATAACACAATTTTAACAAGTACTACCACCCCAGATTAGGTAGACCTGGGAACGCCAGCAATTAAGAGGTGGTTCCATGCTCCTCAAAACCTCCTGATCAGAAAGCCTTGCTGTTGGGCGTAGATTATCGTCTTACCCTGGACGCGGATGTAGTTTATCGTCTTACCCAGGACGCGGATGTAGTTTATCGTCTTACCCAGGACGCGGATGTTGTTTATCGTCATACCCAGAACGGTCACAGCTTGCGTAAGAAAACACGGCAGATATCATATCACGGGAACCCTTCTTTGTGTGCCATGTTCCCTCAGGACGTAGGTGGTCATGGATCTCCATAACTTCCGGTCCCTTGTAGCTCTTAATAAATTTTGTCTGTTATTTCTCCTAAACTCTAATGGGTCAAAAACCGCCATCCATTTACTGAAGCTCATTATGTTCTGCGATGTTTTCCTCTGTCACTCTTGCTCCCAATCCGTCATGTGAGTATCAGATCTTCCAAGCACTCTGTCCTCAGTATGTGCTCTAGAATCTTCAAATGTCTCTTCTTGATGTTTTGTGTGAACAATAGTATAAATACTAATGTTTACACAAAACAAGTCTCAAGAGCCAATCAATGTAGAGGATTACTGTGTGTGCAGAAGGTCACTATGGTTTATGTGAATTCCAAGGGGTTATGTAAATAATGGTTAATCCTCGACTTGACTTCTTCAAGATTGTAGTGATGGGAAAACGCAAATCAGCAGTTCTTAAGAAAAAGCTGTCCTAGTGGAACTTATTTCTTACTAGGTATTTACTCTGTCTCCCAACTCAGACAAATTGTGACACAAGGTCAGTTTTTATTGTAGGCACCCGAGCGCGTACACCCGGGCTAGGAACAAAAATTGCCGCAGTCCCTGCAACCAACGGTTGCGCTGGCTTCGGTACGAGCACCGATCCCTCTCTGTTCCAATTAAAGGACGCGGCCTCGGCCAGCTCTTCCCCAGGGCAGGGCACTTCTCTGTATAATTTTCCTCAGTTGCGACTCTGTCCTTTGACGGTGTCGCCCCTGAGCGCACTCTGCCCAAGGATAGAGACGCAGCCGAGAGAAGATAAGAAATGCGTTACAAACCATTCGAGAAAGCGGTTTTCACACTGAAAAATAAACATGTTACTAGGTATTTACGTTGTCTACCCACTAACACGAGTTGTGACACAAGGTCAGTTCTTAAGGTGGAGACCCGAGCGCGTACACCTGGACTAGGAACAAAAATTGCCCGTAGCTCCCACAACCGTCGGTTGCGGTATTCTCGAATAAAGTATTGAAAATTATTTTCTTGTGCAAAGAAAAATAAAAAACCTCGGTCAGCTATTTTGAAGCTGGGCGCCTCTAAAATAATTTCCTCTAGTTGCGACTCTGTTTTGACGGTATATCACCACTGAGTGCACTTTATATTAAAGACAGAGACGTAAATGAAAGATGATAAATAATAGATTACAAACCAATCGAGAGAGCGATTTAAACATTAGGTATTTACTCTGTCTCCCCACTAAGATGAGTTGTGACACAAGGTCAGTTTTTTAAACTGGGATAAAATTTTACACCCGGGCTAGGAATAAAAAAAATGCCCGTAACTCCCCGCAACAGCCAGTTGCGCTGGCCTTGGTGCGAACAAATGGTGATTTAAAAACAACATATATATGGAACAAACAATATATGGAAGAGTCTAGAACTTACACTCTCTTCCACATATTCATTTTCTTTCAGCATTTCACCCCAAGCAAGGAGGGAGGGCCACTAGTACGCCTGGGTTTACAGAGAGTGAAAGTGAGAGAAAAGGTGGGGTGACCTAAATGCCAATCTAGTAGCACGCTTAAATTTATGTAGTCGGGGCACCAGGGGGGGAAGCTCAGCATTTCACGGTTCATCAAACTGGGCCCATCGTTTCTAAAGATAGTTGGACATTGAAACACTGAATTTTGGTAGCTGGTCGGGCTGAGAATTTTACAGGCGAAAGAATCTTCTGCGCCGACATATTTTCAGTTGCATACGAGGACAAATGTGACACAGGGTCAAGCTCACTATTAGACTCTACACTTACAGCCTTCTTCAAATTAATTGAAATAACCGCTTTAGTTTCCTTTCTTTCACCATACGGTCAGTTTTAGACCCATTAGAGTGACGGGATGTAATTGATTTCTATTTTTTTCTCAGGTTAGTTCATTTACAGTGGTGTGCAGCAATATGAATCTATTTTCGGGGTCTATGATGTAATTTGTTTGTCATTGAAAAATATTGCGTCATTCGTGATTGCATCAGATTTTCATCACGCCCAGACACTATTGTCTTGACTGTCGATTAGTTGTCCTACGGCCATTGTTCGCGATGGACGTTACTTCAAGAAAGCGTACGAAAATTGTAACGCTGCACGGACACACTGGTAAGCCTTACCAGTGATCAAATCAAAGTACTATCGACTGGCTCGGAAACTCTCCTGATTTAATTCTAATGGAGAATCTGTGGCCAGTCTGGAATGAACGATATCGTGGAATGGACATATGAAGTGCTAACATGTGCATTGGATAATGGTTCATTGGAAAAATACGAAAAAAATGTAAATAATAACGGAATTATTCGTTTCGTTTCAATTAATTTGCACAAGGATAGATAGATAGATAGATAGATAGATAGATATACGGAACCGTCATATACGCTGACGTGCCTAACCTGGACTGGCTACATTTATAGGATGCAGGTTCGAATCCTGTCAAAGAACGAATATTTTCATATGAAAATTTTCGGACATTCAGGCCGGTAAATGTTATTTAATACTGTTTATCATAAACAGAGCATTTGCTTAAATACTTGTATCTATAAAATAACAACGTTAAACATAAAAAAATGTCTTTAATAAATAAATTGTTGGACCTTGTCCATTTCTTAATATATGACGTCATTTGTTTACATTTGATACGCCAGAGCAGTTATGAATGTACGAGATTCATTGAATATTGAAGTTTATAAGCAGTAAATTCGACCTTGTCTACCGAAAAGGTTCTTTGTAGCCAAAGAGGTAAAGGCACGTCAGCGTATATGACGGTTCCGTATAGGATGCAGGTTCGAATCCTGTCAAAGAACGAATATTTTCTATGAAAATTTCTCGGACATTCAGGCCGGTAAATGTTATTTAATACTGTTTATCATAAACAGAGCATTTGCTTAAATACTTGTATCTATAAAATAACAACGTTAAACAAAAAAAAAATTTAATAAATAAATAAATGTAATAGACTAGATTCATATATATATATATATATATATATATATGAAATAGATAGATAGATATTAAGAGACCGAAACCTGAATCCATTGTTAGAAAAAAGAAATGGTCATTTTCATTAAAAAATATGAAAAAATGTGAATTGACAGAAATTATTATGTTTTCGTTTCAATAAAAATTTTATTTTTTATAATATGAATATTGATTTTGTATTTTTTATGTACATTAAATTTTTTTAAATATATATTATTAATTTTATGAATTATAACAACCCTATCCTTTTTAATGAATTGGGGATAATAGCCTAAATATATATAAAAAATAGATTTAAACATTACAATTTTATATATTTGAAATAAATAAAAATGTGTGGTATATTATTGGGATAAAATTAATTCATAAACTCAAACGGACTAAAATCAATTTTAATTAATTTAATTTTAGAGATGAGCATATAGGACAACAGGGTTTAAAATGTCTGACCATCCTAATTTTTATAAATATTTATATATTAATATATATTTTTATATATAGATATATATAGAAATTATGCAGTGACCGTCGACATTTTAATGAGGCAAAACGAAAAGAATTAACATCTTTCAAAAAATAAAAATGACTTATAAACATATGAAAATATTTTTTGCAAAAATTTTCAACTATAAATTTAAACAAATATATATATTTATATTAAAACGGAAAAATATATAAAAAATAAATAAATAAGAACTGAAAAATTAAATTTATCTGAATATTTTATGATTTTTTTATAAATATAATATCATATATATATATATATATATATTATATATATATAAATATTTATATATGAAAAATAAAAATATTCTAAAATATTAGAAAACTACATCGCGTCCAACCGCTGATACACATGGTTGAATTATAAACAATGACCGATGAAAACCGTTTATCTCAGGCGGACATTCAGTCAATTACATTATACGATACGTTGCAGTACTATCAAAACACAACCTCGTGTGATGTGTAATCTAAGGTATTACTATTTTATATAACAATTGATGTTGACTTTTAATTTGTTTTTCATATATTTTTAAATGTTCAATAATAATACAAATACGATACCTATAAGTAAAATTTTGTTTGTTTGGATACATACAAATATATATATTTATCTCAATATAAAAATTTCAAAAAAAAGAAAGGAAAAAAAAACACGGTCCCTTGGATTAATCGGAACAATAACTTAAACACTTGTCGCCTCGATTTAATGACTTTGTACAATACTTACCGTAAATTTAGGCATATATATCACATTTTCAAGACTAAAAATATCCTTCTAAAATGAGGTTCAATTCATATAGCGGATATAAAAAAAACCTTTTACAATATGAGTTTGAAGAGTTTTGAACATTAAATTTAAATTTAACAATTACTTACATGTTTTTACCATACCTGCAACAGGCTGCCACAAATTTATCCCACTAAAACATATCTGGCATATCAATAAAGAAATTAATATAAAAAAATAATACAAACTCAATATTCTATTAACGCAAAGTACCCATCGTCCAACCGCTGATACATTGAAGTATAATGAACTTGACCGAGAAGCGCCATTTATATATAAAGCGGCCAATTCAGACAACTAATTCTGGTATGAATGTCACCTCGCAATTTTTGATATTAATGATAGATAATATTTTATAGGCGCTGATACTTTTTTAAAAAATGATAAATCAAAAAAGTTTTTAAAACATAAACTGATTTTAAATATCCGATGATTTTTTGTATTTTTATATGATTTTAACGTTTCAATGATACATGGCTAACAATGGATAAAGAAATAGTTCAATACCTGGCCTTGTTAATTTGGTGGAAAATTTGAAAGAAGGGTATTGATAAGAGATAATTGATATTTGACATCC